GAGCCCGGCTTTTTATTGGTTCTTTGTGGCGTTTGCTTTGATAGGCGATATAAAAAATTGTTTTTTTATGGCATAACCAGACCGACAGGTCTCCTCGTTGCAATTCAAAATAACTAATACGCTCGCCAAAGTGCAGCGAGAAAAAACAATAAAAGTGAAAAACAATTTCGAGCGGCTTGCTAGCGTTTCAAGGGCGACTTTAGTCGCTTGCATGTGCGTACACATATCTACCTATGTATCTCCCCATGTATATCTATCTTTTTGATTGTTCTGGCCAATGCCAATGACTGACTGCATCTGCCAGGTGAGCACTTAATTTTCATTGAATTTTCATTTTCAATTTCCATTTCTCAACCGACTTGTCTGGCGACCTTCAACTTAAAGTTCAAGCGGCAAGTTCACCTGACGTCACATCCTCCGGTGGGTTGGGTCCAATTCTACTGATACTGATTCTGATTCTTCTGCGAGCGAGGGAAAACCCGAAGACCAGAGACCAGAGACCAGAGAACTCAGAACGATAACCAGTTTTTTGGCCATAATCGCCGCGTTTTGCGCGCGTTTCTCGGTTTCAGCGACTTGGTAACTTGACGACCATATCGATATGGTGAGTCGAACTCAGTCGGCATTCAGTTGCAAACGGAGTGTCAGTCGAGGCGGTTCACTTAAAAGCCACTTAGCATTCAACTTACTTGTTAGATCAAGCGCGAACCTAGAATCAACAAATTTTTTTTAACTTTTTTTGTTGTTTGAGTTCACGAGTTTTTCACGCAGAAGAAATGACAATCTATGGACTGTTGGTGCAGATCATAATCGTTTGTAACTAGCCTTGCGAAGAGTCCGAGGATATCCGCGGAGGAGGAGCAAAAATGGCACCGCCCCAAGAGCAACCGGAGGATGATATTACCACCAAGGTGAGGGGATGTGGAATATAAAATATGACGAAGCGAGTCTCCAGACACAAAGGTCTAGTTCAGATGGGGCTTCGATTACAGGTTATTGGTCATCAACTTTAATAGTGGTTCTATGAAAGAACTCATCATCTGAAAGGAAGATTATTTTTGGGTTAACCCACAAATATTTATTTAGAAGTTATAATTAATAAATATTTATAATGGGTTCTAAAAGAAAAGAAAGTTTTCTTTGGGTGTAGCCCATTTTATTTACTATTGGAATCCTAGTTCAATGAAAATATTCTCAGGTGCTTTGATTTCCACTGAAAATTAGATTGTTTACAAAGCCAAGTTTATTTATTATGCCATGTAAACACAACTTTCTAGGGAGGAGTTAGAGTGTTATAGAGTATATTAAACCGAAATGGTTCATATATATTAAAATCTTTCGAAAGTGTTTAGTAATGAGTTATTGATATATCAAGTATCTATAGAAACATCAACAAATAGGCAGATTGGTAAAAATAAGAAATTTAATATATTTAGTCTACTATGTTCCAGGGTACTCCACCTCCTACCCAAATTCCTCTCACCTTGTGCTTATAGTTATAATTTAGCGGAAGTTCGCTAATCACCACATGCAGAGCATCCGAAAAGACGAAGTTAGCATTGATCTGTGGGATCGCTAATTCGCCGATTGGCTATTTCCAAAACCGAGCTTGTGGGGCATGGTTAAGGCTTTGGGGCCAAAGACAATGTATTTGCTTTTAAGAAAAGAATCGATAATGAAGAATTCAATTTTTGTTGCGCGGAAGTAGAACGTGATACAAACCAGTTGGCAAAGGGCTTTATATTTTTTGACCTCACAATATTTCTCATTTATTTGTGGTAACAACATCGCCAGTCGTTTGCTAATTGATCAGGCCTATATAATTATAAATTCAAACAACCGTGAATATGGATCAGCCGGTGTGAGCGAACTGGGAATGCATTTTGTGAATCAAAGGTTAGTCAAGGTGAGTTCACCTCTCACTCCCTTGAACCACATTTTGGTTTGGAAAGGTTTAGCTTCTAACTTGAATCTTGGATAGCCAAAGCTTGATAAAAATGTTATAAAAATGACTTAATTTGATATCTTTTTAAATTTAATATTATGAAAAAAAGTGTGCTTGTAATTAGCAGCCTGTGTTAATCTAAATTAGTTATTTTATCTACACAATTAGCTTTATTAGCGATCAGCAAATGAAGGTTGAACTGTTCTATGAATGAAGCTCTACAAAAATAATAATAATTATAAACAATTTAAGAGCCGAATTTCTAGGGGTTAATTAGGGTCCGCTGATCTCCGATTATGTCAGCAATCTAATAAAGTATACAGTTTATCCAAGATCTTTCACTTTCCTTTTGCCGAATTGGACACACAAACACCTGGCAAAATGTTGCAATTCGCTGAACACAACAAAAAATAAGATAACTTAAGATATAGGACAATAATCTATGCATATTAAGCCAGCCACCAGAAACTGAGAATTACCCCATAGCCAAATCCACTTAAATGACATTATTATAGTTTCCAATAACGATTATGTGGTTATCGAACAATTAGCAATTTAACATTAATTCTATTTTTGTAAAAATTAGTCTCAGTGCATTTACCTAAACGGTTTGACCAGGACCACGAAATTTATGCTGGCCATATGCAGAAGGGGACATTGAGATATGGGCCTGAGGCGACCGCCTCCTGCCATTCTCGTAAATAATAAACAATTGTTTTTTGCGGCGAGAGATACAGATACAGATATGTACATACATATACTTCGTGCCTATGGCGACTGTTGCCCAGTTAAGTGTATCTAGCCAGCTAGCTAAGGAATATGATGACAGTCGATTTCTAGCCAGCTCTTTACCTCGAGTACCAGCACGAGTATCTCGGCGTATCTCTGCTTTTTGCGCTCCAGTATCTTAATTGTTACTGCGCTCAACGTTGCGGAACGACTAAGTTGAAGGGAGTGGGAATCGGAGTTCCGAAAACGACAAGTCAGAATCAGAAATGGAATCACAAACGGTGGCAACTGAGAGTCGGGCTTGAAGAGCTGTGAATCTAAGAGCCCTATTATGTATATACTTACATATATAAAACTATTGTTGATATTTGAGTAATTAATGCAGATCGCAATATAGTGAAGCTATATCATCCAAATTTGTATGAAGAATTCTAGTATTCGTTTAAATGTCTCAGGAGTGATTTCGTCCCAAGTGGCTTGAATCGATTGAAACAATTGTTAAAACAAATAGTTTACTTCCTCTAAGCATTTCCTACTTGTTTTAAATAAGACTATATTTTGCTATAATAATAAAAGTAATAGATCTGAGAAACACATACTGCTGCCAGAACTTCCGTATATTTCTTGCTGAATTTTAAATTCAAACCACAATAAACATGCGCCGTCATCGGGCCAAAATAAATTAATAAGTATTGGGTTTGCAAAAGGAAGCCAAACGAGAAGCTCTTAACGCTCAATTTGGCGCTCCGCAGTTCGATCCACCCAACCACCGATCCACTGATCCACCGATCGTGACGTGTTCCCCACAACAACAACAACAAGTGGTGGTCGGTGGTTGTTGTTGGTTGTTAGTGGTTGGCTCTTTGTCGGTCGCTTCGAATGCCATTGGAGGTCAAGTTCAGGGAACACCAGTTTATGGTTATTTTTTCATCTTCTGCCTTGCCGAAGTTTTTACGATTACGATTGCAGCTGGAGGTGTCAAAGTATTTGCTTGCTCAAGTATTTAGATACTTTAACAATAGTGCTTAACGCGAATTGTTTGATTTCGATTGGCTGCCAGGAAATGGATGAGAATCAAATGATTTTCTGCTCAAATTGAATTTGTTTTTTTGGGCTTTTCTGGCCGTTCTTTGGGTTCTTATATTAGGCAAATTCAAAGAACCTAATTCTCGATTGAGATGCTGTGAGTTCCATAAGGTACAACCTGTTTCAAAGTCAGGGTCGCCAAAACTCATCTTTAGGAAACCTCATTGAATGCTTAACCTTCCGGAACTGAGTTCATAAAGTTCTATAACCTGTCACCAAACAAGGCACGTAACATTTAAATTGTAAAGGGCTTACATCATTTAAGCACAAAAAGAGAAGCAGCAATTTAAAGATCAAATTCTTTTTATAAATAAGTCTTCAAAACATTAGTGTAAATGTAATTTAATAAACGTAAAAACCTACATAACTTTATCGTTGGTAATTTATAGTAATTATAATACTGCTACCGGGATGTTGAGTTCAGTGAACTGGCGGTTGGCAGTTAAATACATATATAATTAATATTTAAATATGAGAATAATTGCTTGACGGTTGCAATTGGACAAACTAGCTTTTTATTATCATTGGCTTTATGATTTCGCCGACTTGCGTAAAAGCCACGAGGCCAATAACAAATTCGCACAATTAAACCTAGAAAATAATATAAATACATCGAAGTAATGTTTTTACTTTTGAAAATCAAGTAGTAAATATTTTATATAGGTAGGTACTATAAACAAATGATTATTACCAGGTCCCGTCTTCTTTTTTATCTGTTTATTATGTCATGCGCCATTTAAACTAGATGGGGGCATTGTGTTTGACTTTTGTGTCGTTGGTTTTTTTTGGAAAAAGGTGATATATATTTTGTGGACCTTGAAGGTCATCATCAGTGGCCAATTTGAATTTATTTCATTTGTGGTAATTAGCTGCGTGCACCTTGCCTAATTGCAGATACCCTCGATAATTGGATTCCTGAACTTGGACTGACTGGCAACAGGCGAAGCTTTGGCCCCCGAACTCCAAGATGAAGAGCTGACCTAGAGAGCCAAGGCTGAATCGCGAGAACTATAGGTACACATCTTAGTCATATTGTAATGGTTAAGAAATGGATCACGAAACGCATAAATAAACGAGAAATGTAAATGAATTTATTGGATGGTTTTTTAACTGCCTGAAAGTCGGCAATGGGCTGTGGAAATAACCCAGGGAAATATGCTTTTATTGGTGGCAATACTATTCTAGTGACAGTGACAGTAACTAAAAACTGACTACTGAGTCTCAGAGAGAGATGGGGAAAAAAGCAAAGTAGGTAATAATGACGGCACGGACAAAAAAATATGTAAAGCCGAGCGACGATCTGATCTGTGAACTGGCTACCATCCTAGGCCGGCAATCGAAAAGCAGTCCTGGTGAAACGAACCCACCGAAGCCATCGAATCCATCGGAGTTCATCGAAGAGGGTAATCCCAAGCAGGCCACGAGCAGGACGAGAAGAAGGACGTCGAGGAACGTGCACAAGGAGCGGAATTGGAAGCTGTCCTCGAGGAACTCTTCCCGGAGGCAGAAGAAATGTATTCGGCGGTGAAGCCGCTCTCCAAGTATCTGCAATTCAAGTCGATCCGCATCTACGACGCCGTCTTCACCATCCACTCCAAGTGCACGGTGGTCATCCTGCTCACCTGCTCGCTCCTTCTGTCGGCGCGCCAATACTTTGGGGATCCGATCCACTGCATCAGCGAGGAGAAGAACATCGAGTACATACAGTCCTACTGCTGGACCATGGGCACCTACATACTCAAGCTGGACGCCAGCGACGGCGGGCAGCAGCTGCCGGTTCATCCGGACCAGGAGGGATCGGGAACCTCCTCCCCCACTTCCCCAACCTCCTCCACCACATCGCACTCGAGTTGGAAGAGCCGCTCCAGATACCGCTCCAGGTCGAGCCTCCGCCGAATGGGGGAGTACAACGAGGCCTATGCGAGGGCCATGTCGATAGCCGAGGGCGTGGGCCCCGAGGTTCGGGGCCAGTCGGAGCGGGAGTACCTGCGCTACTACCAGTGGGTCATCATCCTGCTGCTCTTCCAGGCGTTCGTCTTCTACTTCCCCTCGTGCCTGTGGAAGGTGTGGGAGGGCCAGCGACTGAAGCAGCTCTGCTCGCAGGTCGGCGAGGCCCTGCTCTCGGAGGAGACCTACAATACCCGGCTGCGGCTGTTGGTCAAGTACTTCACCACCGACTACGAGGACATGCACTTCTGCTACATGGCCAAGTACGTCTCCTGCGAGATCCTCAATTTCCTCATCAGTGTGAGTACGCTTTGAATAAAATAACAGCTCTCAAAACAGTTCCGCGATCCCAACAGTTAGCCAATCACTCTCAAAAACAAGTTCGAGACACAAAATCGAGACCAATTTTCGCCCTGAAAAAGAAATAACTCGCGTTTCTATATCATCTCGAAAATCAAACTCGAGAGCAATTTCGTCTTGATTTTAGGAACGATCCTTCTCGATTTAGCGAGAAAACTTATTCTCAAATTGAGAACATTTGTTAATGGCATTTTTCGCAATTTCGAATACCTACAACTAATCAAATAATATTTATAAAACAGGTGGTGAACATAATCGTTTTGGAGGTCTTCCTAAACGGATTCTGGTCAAAGTACCTCCATGCCCTGGCCACCATTCCGTTTTACGACTGGGATCGCTGGAACCGCGTGTCATCGAGTGTCTTTCCCAAGATCGCCAAATGCGAGGTGCTCAAGTTCGGGGCCAGTGGAACGACCAGTATTATGGACAACCTGTGCATCCTGCCGCTGAACATCCTCAACGAAAAGATCTTCGTCTTCCTGTGGGCCTGGTTCCTCCTGATGGCCCTGATGTCCGGCCTGAATCTCCTCTCTCGGCTGGCCATGATCTGCAGCAGATATCTCCGCGAGCAGATGATCCGCAGCCAGCTGCGCTTTATGACCAAGCGGCATGTGAAACGCGCCCTGCGCGACCTCACCATCGGGGACTGGTTCCTCATGATGAAGGTCAGCGTCAATGTTAATCCCATGCTTTTCCAGGATCTCATGCAGGAGTTGTGCGAGCTGCGCACCTCGTCCTCGGCCAGCAGCCTGGAGAGCCCCGTCTAGGGTTTCTTATGACAATTGTAATCCATATGGATCAGAATCAGCAGATCGCCTGGATGACCCTCGCCCAGTTGACGTTGCCGTCGTTGATTCGCGCGTTTTTGCTTACATACATGTGGATATTACATATATTTCCTCCCTTCACCTTTGCAAACACTCTACTTATGTTTTGTAAACATGTGAGCTATATGGTATCGTATACTTATTATTAGGCTTGGGATAAAATGTGGCCCTCGTTGACTTCTGTCCAGTTCGCAGTAACCAATCTAGGTAGATGGTTACCCAGAGAAGTACTTTTCAGACTTTCCTATGCTATACAAATGCTTGTTAAATTAGATTTTCACATTTCTATGTCTGATAATATAAATGCAGGTGAGATTTGGTGACTTCTAGCCACTTCGCGAAAAGGTGACCCAGACCTGCAACAAATGTGGGTGGATGGTGACCCAGAAATATACCTTTCAGACCATGAAATGAGCTATCGTAGTGGAAATTTAAAATGATTATATTTTTACTATTTTTTATAAACAGTTTTTTACTTTTTGTAAGCTACATATGAGCATAATTCTGAAGTCTCCATGCGAACTAACTTTCTGCTGAGTTGCTGTTTCTGCTTCTGTTGTCTTTGCTGCTGGCATTTAATGTGCATTGTTTATAACTAGTTGCTGCCATAATTTCGTCATTTATATTTTGCTGGGACGATCCCCCTCGATCGTTGGGGTTTCAGCATTGTTTTGCGCACATTAACAACGCAACTCGCTCGCTTTTGGCCGCCTTCGCCACGCAACTCACTCATTCACTCACTCACACTCTCTTGGGTGAATAAATGTAAATAGTATTCAAAAGCCATTCGTGTGGCGTTTAATATGCCCAGCACTCACCTGGGGCATATCGGCTGGAGACCCCACTCCTTCAGCCCAGTGACTCACTAGCGCCCGCTGATAAAAAAATTCCCCAGAACGATTATTTCGTTTGCGAACTCAAGGGGAGGAAAAGCCATTGCATTACTAAATACGAAGTTCTTAACTTATTCTCAAGTGGCCACATTTTCATATCACTTGTATAGGGCTGTCTATCAAGTTTGAACGAGTGAATAAGGCAAATAGAGACGATGCTTGAGAATTAAAAAAAAAAAGATTAAATATAAAAAAATAATAGAACACATCTATCATCGTAAAAACAGACTATTGGATCAGCAAAGTATAAAAACGCGAATATGATGTCGATATTTTTTACGAATTTCCTCCTTAAAGTGGAAATCAGAAATCGACATTCCTCATTTAAAGGAATAAAAATAAATATAAGGCAAAGATTCATATTTTTTTGATTTAAATGGAGCTTGTAGGTTTTCAAATGGTGTTTCTGAATAAGCGGATGTTGCATGACTGTTATTGTGTTGTATCTATGTGGTTTTTTGGTTTTTAAAACAGTGGTTGGGTTTTTGAAAGAGTTAACTTTTTTATTAAAACAGGCATTACTGTTTTAAAATGCGTTATCATATAAAGTTGTATATTTGTGATTTTCTTGTTGGTGTATGTAAAGCAAAAAAAGGGGTTTAAAAAAAGGGGATTTGGGAAAGAAGGGTTTTTGAAAGAGCAGATATGTTGGTTTTTATAACAGGGGGTTGGGTTTTTAAAAGGCCTTATTTTTTAGTGAAACATAAGCATGACTGTTTTAAAATTGTCATTCAATGGTGATTCTGAAGCAAAAAAATTGAGTTTAAAAAAAAACGGGGTTTTAAAAGTGGGTTTTTGATAGGCGGATATTTCTTTAAAAAAAAAAAACCTGATAGTTTAAGTTTTCTGTTATTTTGGGGGTATCAATTCGTCGACGCACTGCTCCCTGACCCTCCCCCTATTCTCCGCCCCTTTTTTGGGGTCTCTCCCTTTCCGTTTGACGTTTGCGTGGGCTGTCGACGCCTCTGCTGCTGTCAACCGCGACGGCGGCGTCGACTGAGGCAGAGGCAGAGGTGCGGCCGGTGTTTCTTCAGCTTTAGGTTACATCTATTTTATTTCCATATCTATCGTACCCGTATTCCTATTTCCATTCGGTATTGTTTTGCCCAGCCGTTGTTTTGCTTGGGCCTTTCGGTTTTTGGTTTTCGGTTTTAGGTTTTAGGTTTTTCGCTTTTCGGTTTCTGATTTTTTTGTTTACTTCCAGTTGCTTTGTGTGGCACTTGGCCAGTTAGTCGCTTTGTAGTTTGGATTTTAGCATTTTAGTCGCCTGTCAACCGCCGTCCCCTTCGTTTTGCTCCTCGGTTTTGGTCTCGGTTTCGTTAATTTGTTGTTGATTTTCAGTTGATTCTCGGTTGATTTTGATGTGGATGTGCGAGTGCCGAATGCACTTAATTAAAGTTACGCGTACGTGACGATTGCAGTTGCAATTTCGTGTGCTGCTGCTGCAGCTGCAATTTCTGTTGCATCTTTGGCGGCAATATCAATAGTGTTGCTATCAGTGAGTAATGCACTCGTAATTGGGTCTGCAGAGATACAAAATCAAGAGCAAACAAAGCACATTAGTGGGAAAAACACTAGGGGTTTTTGGAAAAATATTAAGACAAAATTATTGCAGGTTCCCTGACAAAGTAAAAAAAAACAAGTGATTTGTGGGCATAAGAACAACCTAGTGGTAAAATAAGGGTTATGTTATATGTATTTTTCGCATTTGCGAAAACCATTTTTTAATTACTTTGCAATTACTGCCCCGCAACCAAAAACTGGAAAAACTGAGCAATTGCATTATCACTTTTCGTAGGTCCACAACTATTATTTTGACTGCAGCTATGCGTGTGTGTGGCACACACAGCTCACACACTCACACTCTCACACACGATAAGCGCCAACGAAAACAAGCATGGCCATAAAAACAACAACACAACGGTGGGCAGTGATAAACACCCCGCGACAAGTGTGTAAAACATTTAAACGCACAGTGGAATGGCATCATCTTTCGCAGCTCACATTTTCCTTCTTTTTTTACATATTTCGACTGGCTTTTTTGGGTGAAAGTCGTGATTGATAAGCCCCTGTCCTCTGTCACCCATTTATTTGTTTTCCCCCCCCTCCAATTTGTGTCACTATTGTTCTCCATCTGGCATCTGGTGTCGGTTTTTCAATGTATTTATGTATATTCCACATGCCGCACATTGTTATTTCTCGATTTGCATGCCGACTAGGCGAAGAAAGCTCTCGATAAGGAGCTATAGAGGGGGTAAATAAATAAAAGTCAACCCGAATAATGGGAGTACAGTGGTTCTGGAAAAATCAATATTCCATTAGTTTCAAAAACATGTCCACCAAGCCAATAAATCAAAACTACTATAAACATTAAATATAGGACACTTTTATAGCTAACCCTTAACCGGTTTTAAACCCAATCGAGGAATTAATTTCCATAAGTATAAACAGCTGGCTGGATAACGCGACTAAAAATATCGTTTTTAAAAATTACTTTTAGAAAAAAACCTTTCTAGCCAAAATTATTCTCAACCTACATAAAAAAGGTCACAGACATGTTCCCAAGACTTTGCTAAATAAATCTATTGACTTAATCGAAATGTAAGCAAGTGTCATAGTGCCACTGTGTTAAATAAAAATAAAAAAATTAATTTTTTGTGAAGAGAATGCAATTAATTTATTACAATGCAACTTTTTCTATGTTTGTATTCTCAGATAAAAAAAAGTTTCTAGGTAAGAAAAAACCATTTACAGGGCTTGAGCTGCACAGTGCCTTGGCTGAAGTACATTTCGGAGGCTACAAAATCACTTCGCAACCACTGTGCGCCTAGAAGAGCTCCATAAACAAAACAAAAACCCAAAAAAAAAACCTAAAAGTTACCAACAAAGTCTGCAAAAAGAAGCAACAGCCAAAGCGGCAAGAAACGCGATTACGCCAACGAGCGCTGCCGGCGTCAACGTTGCAGTCAGCGTCGCAGTCGGCGTTGGCGGTACGGTAACGCTGGCGCCCGAACAGGGCAAGCGGTTAGCAGTTAGCGATTTAGTTGGCCGCCGCTGCCCGAACGCGTCTCCCGTGCTTTAACTCCCAGTTTTCGATACCTGACTTGCCATAGTTCCCCAGTTCCCAGTACCCCCACTCCATTTTCATGTGGCCTCGTGTAATTATGACATTTTCCCGGGTGTTACGTTTTCAATATTGATTTGTGGGCCCCAAGAAAAGCACTCCCCCGCAAAAGAAACAAAAAGAAAAAGGAAAAAAGCAAAGATAAGAGTGGAAGGTGTTGCTCATGTCTTTGGTTCGTACACCGAAGAAAAATTGTAGGAACCTGTGGGTTTAACTGAGTAAAAACTAATGAAAAAAACAAATATAAAACTAATAATAAGTAACATAACGCCCTGTGATATTTTTGCCTAATAAAGCCCTAAGCCAACACAATTTCTTTTCAGTGCACCTCTCCCACACATGAAACAAAGATATAGAAACGAAACCAATAACAATAAACCCAATGAGTGCAAAGTGAAGAGTGGAGAATTGAGAATTGAGAAAGAGAAGAATCGTGTGCAGATTTCGAGTGTGTGATTTTTTTTTTTGGTTTTCTCAAAGTGTGATCATCATGGCCGGCGATGCGGAGAACAAAAGGGGCTATCGCACCATATTTCGCAGCATTTCCCAGGTGTTCTACGCCAATGCCAAAAACTCCAGTAACACGAACAACTCCTACAGTAACAACAACAACAACAATACCAGCAGTTACAACAACAACAGCGATTGGAATACCATTAGTGACAACACCGCCAACGAGGGAATCGGTCGACTTACAGTCACGCTCACCAGCATAACACCACCCACTGCCACATGGACATCGACATCGCCCACAATCTCCATATGCACAACAGCATCCTCATCGACGGTGTCCTCCTCATCCCCGTTGGCCAACCGAGCGGCAAGATCGGCGGAGAATATATCCTGCAGCGAATGTGGAAATCCAGATCCGTATCACAGTCAGGATTCAAGCCCCCCAACTCCGCAACTCCAGGCAAATGATCAACATCAGGACCAAAAGCCCCTTCCAGTTACCAGTTCGGATCAAAACCGGAAGCTAAGGGCCAGTTCCATGCTAGACCTGACCTCCAACCGTCGCCATCAGAACGCCTTGAGGGTAAGTTTTGACCTCCTCAATTACCCGCCATAACATATCCATCAAGTTGAGATATAGCAACCGCCTTCCGAATGGTATTAGCCAGCCCATCGATCAGTGACATACCATCAATTTAATAATCAGCATAGTAAT